TAAAAAAGACTCCGATGTAGTGAACAATTTCTTTGACAGAGGGTGCAATTCGTGAGGACTTTCTACGGCGAAACTGGCCCCTATTTAGGCGCTAGACACGTAAAAAAACCGGAAAACTCCACGTGTTAGATTATTAGTTAGGTGCGAACCCACGATCAGTGTTAATGGTTGCATTCACTCGGCCACATATGAGTTCTCAGGGAAAAATTATTTAAACAAGCAAATATATATATACATTATTTTCAATAGCAGATACTTTATATATAAATAATAACATTAATTTAAACAAATTAAATACAATAGTTTAATTATTAAGTTATGTAAACATTTCTTTTGTATATTCAGTTGTCTAATTTCATTTAAAATCTTTAGAAAAATTAGCTAAATTCGGTTTAATTCATTCATTGTTAATTAAAATTTATAACGTTAATTTGATTAATTTAAAATTAAGAATAATTATTACTAAGATATTAACGTATAGTTTAGAATAATTTTAGTTGCTTTATTACGCTTTATACTGCAAAATATTGCTTTTTTACCTCGAAAAAAAATGCAAAGTCTATCCTTAAGCTGGATTTAATTTCTTTAGTATTTTCTTTGACAGTTTCTTACGTCAGTTTGACGTCACAATCACACTTCTCTTCGTAAGTGTCACAAACAAGATGAAAGGGATTCAACCTTTATGATGTCACGCTATACACAAGAACTTAATTTACAATTGGATGCTTTTGTAGATTTACATCTACAAAAGCATCCAATTGTCGAATTATAAGTATTTTATTTTTATATTTAACTCTAAGTAAGAAGAGTTAATTGTTAAACCCCTTTAAATGACAGCTAATGTAAAAGATCCCAAAAGAGAAGAAAACCAAGATCTTCTTTCTATTATGGTCCATTCATTGTTTCTCTTCATCTTATCTCTCCAACGTCTTCTCAGTCTCTTCCTCTTCCTCTCTTTCTTTCTGGTTTCCAATCTTTAATCTGTTTTACTATTTTTCCATGTATTTACAGTGTCCGCCATTTAGAGATGAAGGGTCTGGAGATTATAAAAATGTCCGTTAAATAGAGGAGTGTCCGTTAATGGAGGTTTCACTTATATTTTCCTCAATGCCATTATTTCACAAGTGTTTAACATCTGTTTCGTCTTTGTTGTCTCTGCTCTCATCCCACTGCATTTGTTGATATTGTCCTAATTGGTTTATAAATCCTAATTTTAGTTTATTTTTGTACATTTCTATTATTCTATATTTTGCTATTTAAAAACTATGTGACACTATCGTTTAAATTCATACATTTAAATATAACTGTAATTAATTTCTGATAAGAAAACACTTCAATTAATATTAATTAATTTTTCTTAGAAATAATTTTACGTAAAAAAAAACGTTAATTTAATAGCAGACAAATAAATAATTTCATTAAATTAATTCATTTGCATTTATAAATAAAAAATATATTCATTTATTTATGATTTATAAATGTCACAAAAATTAAATCCTTAAGCATGAAATGAAAATTAATTTTATGATTTAATTATGATTTATTAATTATGATTTTTCATTTATTATTTACTCTAATTGCTAGAACTTTAATCATAATAACAGATTTGTTTTCACTTAAGTAAATTAACCAACTTATAGCATAAATAAAGTATTATTTGCATTAAAATACAGATTTATAGTGGCTAAAAAATTAGTTAAATGTAAATGTTGCAAGTAATTCAGTAGTTTTCCGTACGTTCTTAATAATAAATTATATCTTTCAAAACAGAAATTCTCAAACCTCAGATATACGAACGCCTCTGTTTATAAACAAAATTCGGTTTACGAACAAAATTTTGTGGAACGATATATGTTCGTAAACCGAGGTTTGACTGTACTTTCAGTTTTATACCTTAGTATAATTTAAAATTATCGGATTACCTAACGGTCCTTTTAATCTCTTGTTATAATGCCAAGGGATGTTCGAGTAACATCCCTTGCCAGCGTTTTTAATACAGTACTTCTCCATTTTGTTCAAATCTCTCATCCATTTCATCTTCGTCTTCCTTTCTCCGGTATCTTTCTTCAGATTTTTAAATTAAATTTATAATAATATTTTTAAAAAAAAATATTTCAATTTATTATTATTTTAAAACTTTCCAATTTTTTTAAACTTTTTAAAATTATTGGTAAGTTTCTCGTAATTAATAATATTAATATTAAGTACTCGAATTAAAAACAATTATTATTCCTTGTTGGATTATATAATTAAAGCGAATTAATTACATTTTTAATATAATTAATTTAAATATTTTTAAAAACCGTAATATAAAATTATGCAGGAATGATTGGCATTTCATTTACATTTTTAAATATAAAAATTAATTGCATTTTTCAACGTTAAAAATGTAATTAATTTGCATGTTTTTTTTACGGTATTAAATTCTTTTCGTAGGTGATTAATCCTTAAAATTTAACAACTTGTTAACAACAATTGAATAAATTAATATATTTTTAATTTATTTAATTTAAAATATACGCTCTCCATCTCAAGTTAGTAATAGCTTGCCCCTGTACATCATGCTTTTCCTATAACAACAGAGTCGTGCCGGTCATCTGTCTAACCCCTTCCGGGGTAAAGATTTCAATTGAAACAACGTGATTCTCGGTCTGGAATGGAAGTTCATATACAGTTAATCGGGGTCATCTGCCCGTAAGGTTTCCATGTCTTTTCTCGACTTGCATATATTAATATCTAACATCGCTCTCGAGATTAAGGAAGAACAGTCAATAGACAGACAGACAGTGAAAATTCCCACATATCTCGGATATATCAGGCTCTGTCCCACACTACCCGGTCGACTTATTGTGGATCCGGTCGAAGCCAAACTGGATATGATTAATAAATAAGTTCCTCTCACGGAAACAACATAACAACATAACGGAAACAAATAAAAAAGACTCCGATGTAGTGAACAATTTCTTTGACAGAGGGTGCAATTCGTGAGGACTTTCTACGGCGAAACTGGCCCCTATTTAGGCGCTAGACACGTAAAAAAACCGGAAAACTCCACGTGTTAGATTATTAGTTAGGTGCGAACCCACGATCAGTGTTAATGGTTGCATTCACTCGGCCACATATGAGTTCTCAGGGAAAAATTATTTAAACAAGCAAATATATATATATATATATAGATCAGATATAAAATTTTAATAATAAAAAATAGAACTTCTTTCATTGGGAATTACCTAAAAAGATCTACATTCTAATTCCACTTTCATATTAATATTTAATTATTAATGTTCATATCTTCCATTCATAACCTTGACATTTAACGTTATTATTAATGTAAAACTTTCTATGACACCATTTATATTGATTATCATTAAATAAAACATAATCTAAATTTTTCTAAGAAATTAAAGTAATATAATTATTCATATAAAATTTATTTAATTAATACTTATGATAAGTTTTACTTCTTTAACTTTCTAAATATTCAAAAATAATAACCTGATATAAGACAAAATTATAACGAATTTTCTATATTTAGATATTCATATTGTTGAATCATGAATTCATAATTCCTAATTTAAAATTAGGATTTTTTAATCTACAATTCTAGTTCATTTATCTAAAAAAAGGGGGGGATATATATTAGATTTAACAAATTTGATTAATGTTTTATATTGAAAATTATCCTTATTTCTAGAATAAATATAGGTTAACCGTCATAAATAATGCAATGAACTCATTAATGTAATGGCACAAACTTCATCACTCCCTTAAGCGAGGAACAGCTGTCACGAAAGCAATTTCCAAGCAGAAATCCTATGAAAACTCCTTAAAATATTTAATGAGAATATAATTTTAGATATTATATGATTTATTTAATTTAAATTTAAGAAAATTGTAATTATGTAAATGAAAATTTATTTTTATTTAAGTCATTTAATATCATAAAATTAAATGTTTCTAATTTTATTTTCTCGTTTAAATTAATTATAATTATATTTTTACGACTATTTAAATACGAGACAATGCAAAAAACAAGCATAAAAATTATTTAATTATAACAATAAAACAATATCGATTAATAATAATCAACACATGGGCGATCTTCCAAAAGGGAGAGAGGAGACCATCTTAAGAGAAACTAGATATAGTAGTGTAAAAATATGCTATTTACACTACTATATGTTGTAATTGTGTATTAAAGCTGTACAATACTAAAATTTTACATAATAAATTTGTAATTTATTACGCATAAAATTTCCATAAATTACAAGTATTAATATAATATAATTTCAAAATGTTTGATCTTTGTTTGTTTATTTGTTTGGTAACATCTGTTCGGTGACACAACACGACATATTGTGTTTCTGAAAAGGAGGAAACTTTATATTACTCACAGTGCATCGATTCTAATTTAAAATATTTTACAATTGAAAAGTTTCTAAAACTTTAAATTAGAAAATATTCAATGTCAATTACAGTCGATCCCCCTATAAGATCATTGATTTTTCCGTTTTATCTGAATTACATGTTGTACGAGTCACTTAGATTTTACAAATACGTGTGCCGGGCTGTGAACGGCTCACATATTTGTAAAATCTAAGTGACTCGTACAACATGGGAATTCATATAAAACGAAATAATCAACAGTGTTATATGGGGGGATCGACTGTATACAATTAAAAATTAGAACTAATTTACAATATTTACAAATTGATGTTAAAATATAAAAAAAAATCGTTATAAAAATGTTACTTTTATAATTGAAAGTAAAAATTTTTCGAAAAATAATAGATTAATTTACTTAAATTTAATATTAAACGTGTAAAATAACATTTGAAATTCGAGTTATTTATAAATGTATTAAATGTTTAAATTGTGTGATTAATAATTTTGTATTCATTGCAAGTCGCATGCTCTCTCTTAAGAGTTAAATGCGCATGCTTGACGTCTATCCAAGGGTGAGCAAACGGTCTCGAGCTACACTCGCCTTTAAGAGAAGATCGAGTGAAGTGCTCCCGATATTCCCTACAACGTGCACGTGGATTCCGATATTTTCCAATTCGAATTTATACTTCAGGTAATGTGTCTGAATATATTTAACTTAGAAACTTTTATTTAATCGACCAAAAAGAAAAAGAAAAAAAAAAATAATGGCCGACGTGTTTGCCGTTAGTCTACACGCGTTTGCCGAAGATAATACCCACCGGATATCTAGGACTAACCACTCTGGTCCAACCGAGTTAGGAGCTGGAACTTCCGGTTTGTTATCTTTACTGACTGTGATTGGTACCAGTTTGTCAATAGTGGGGGTGGTTCTTACATTCATCACGTACAGTCTCTTCTCTGACTTGAGAACTTTGAGCGGTAATTCTCTACTTAATCTTTTGGCTGCTCTCTTTTTATCTCACTTACTCTCCGTTATCGGCGTAGAAAGATCTCAAGATCACAACTTATGTCTGACCATGGCTTTTCTTTTACATTATCTTTGGCTGGCGGTACACTTTTGGGTGACGTCTATGGCTTGGGATATGTATCGTACGTTTCGAGATAACATCAATTTAAAACCGAGCACCCTGAATGAATCGCAGAAATCTTTATTACGTTGTGCTCTGTTTTCGTGGGGTGTGCCACTTGTTTTTGTGGGATTATCTGCCGTTTTACATTTTAAGACACACTTAGACGATTTGCCAATTGTGAAAGATACTTGTTGGATTGTTGGCCCCGGTTCTCTCATCTATGCTTTCGCTATACCCGCGGGCCTGTTATGTATCTTTGACATCATGTATTTTTGTAAAACAGCGATTGTTATACATCAAACTGTGGGCTTACAGATGAATAGAAAAACTAAGAATAAAATGAGGAAGAGAAGATATTTACAACTTTGCTTATATTCAAAATTGGTCATACTACTTGTGGCAACTTGGTTCTCTTGCGTTATGGCGCAACTAACGAATCAAATATCTCTTTGGTACGTATTCACGCTACTGATATCGCTTCAAGGATTCTTTGTCGCCCTTTCTTACAGTTGTAATTCACGAGTATTTCGTCTTTATGGAAAAAATTTTCGATCTGGAAAATCGTCTTCCGGATATGGAACATCGGAATTATCCCAGTCCACGAGTTTGACTTTATTGACATGGCAACCATCTCCAGATTCTGTTTAAATGTACCAACAAATATCAACTTTACGTATCAATAATCAACAACATTATCAAAATTTTATTAATATTAAAAACCATTGCGTTTATGTGTAATTATACCGTAGGATTAAGAAGGAAAAAGAAAAAAAAACGTTAAATGCTGTTTATTTTGTGTAGGAAATAAGTAAATAAACATATATACATATATAGATTATTTATTGTTTAAAGATGTATATATATATTTTATAAATATGTAATTTTTCTGATCATATCAAGTTATTTTAAATGACATACGTGTATGATACCGTTATGTTTTCCCTAATAAAATTCACAAGCATATCCTAAAAGGTGTGTTAATATATATAATTATATAAAATTTAAATACATAATTTAAAAGTTTAACTATATTCAAGTACTAAGAACTTCATCTCTAACATACGTGGTGTGCCAGATTTTCTTCTTTCGTATCGCACTTCAGACAACAAATTAAATATTTTTATTAAAAAATTATATAAACTCGAGCCAAATATTAATCTTTATTTATAAAACTCAAATAATCTCCTCCATCTTTAAGTATATACAATAGAAGATTTATTGTACGTAAGTGATAATAGTTAATTTTATTGCTAATCATTGCAATATTCTTGATCCTCCAAGGCATTTGTATGCACAATAATTTCGAGAATAATTGGAAATTTCTTTTTTACTTTTTATACTGCTAGATATTTGCTTATATTCAATAACAATTCTTATTTAACTAAATAAAAAGATAAAAAATCATTATCTTATTCAGAATATTTATTTATTTTAAACAGTCGTATAGTAGTAATATAATAAATATTAAATTAAGTATAAATATAACTTATTTATTAAGAAATAAAATTAATTTTTTTATTTAGTTATTAATTTTTATTAATACATAAACCTTATTATTTACGAAGTTTAATTGCTTGTGAATATCAATAAAACTATTCAAAATTAAATCTTTTTTTATCAATTAAAAATAAAATTCTCTGTTAATTAACTGTCTTTTGGGTTACTTTATTATATAAGTGTATTACGTAATCTTTCAATTAAAAAAAAATATATTCCTGAAATCTATTGTATTACCTTTAGAAACTCTTCACTATTTACCTGATAAGGAGAGTTATAAAAATAAATTTATATAACTTTAAAGGAAATATAACACTATTTTTTATTATCTACAAGTAATTCTTTTATTACATAACACATATTTTATTTTTCTTACATTCATCATAAAATAATGTTTTTGATAAAAAAAAAAATTATCATAATTGAATATCAGAATGCTATTTCTGTATAATTTAACAATCAAAACAATTTATTTGAAAGAAAAATAAGCAAAATAAACAATAAATAAATCTTTAAAGTATGTATCTTCGTGTAATACTCAAGCAATTTACCGTGAAATCAGTCTAAAAATAACAAGAGTAATTTTGACAACAGCTGACACCCTCCCCCAGTAATAAAAAAAAAAAAATCGTTATTATCTAAGATATATCAAACGTAATTTTTTTAAGTTAAGAAAATAAAGAAAAACATAATAAATTTTTCCATTTAAAACTGTTTTTCTTATCACATTTGTTCTCGTTTAATTAAATGATTTGTGTGAAAACTTCAACACCTTTATTTAATTTTTTTGTACAAATTAATCGTGGCACTCATAAACAAAACAATTTTTTTTTATATCATAAAAAAATTTAGAATATAATATAGTATTAAAAGATTCATCGATCCAGCTGACTGATTTTTCTTTATTATATCATTTAACCTTATAAAAAGAGCTATCAGTATGAGTTATCTAGATTGTGACGAAAGTAGATAGAAGTGATGATATTGACCTTCTAATTCTTCTAATTCTCTTTAGTAATTTAATATAATTCCCTCTTTTATATATATATATATATATAAAAGAATAAATAAAAAGTTAGAAGAGTCAAAAAATCAATAGAAAAGAAGAAAACAAAGTAAAATCAATTAAGAAATCGATAACAATTTGTAAAGTATACCATTAATTTCTTTAAAATTTTAGTGAAATTTGAGATAATACTTTAAAAAAATATATTAAAATAAATCGATTTTTTATGATAATTACTCTATTATCTTAAAGTTTTTAAAGTAATTTTTTTTGTGTTCGTCGTTCATTAAGTCACTCCTATTACTCGTAAATCAAACAATATTTACCTAATACTTCAGATATATTGTAATTGCTGGAATAATTTTGTAATTTTAGAGAATGTATTCTGTTAGTTGTATATTCGCTTTAACAGTCGATAATTACTAGAATCGTCACGGGAGATGTTAAAGATGTAAATGAGAAACAAAACAGGAATAATACTTTTGCTATTTGTGTCCTGTCAGAAATTGAGAAACTTTACTAATTTACAAAAGAATATATCTATTTTTTTTTTTTTAATTAATACTCGATTTTAGAAATTAAAATTTTATAAAAGGGCGTATACGTGTTACAATTTATCGCCTAGTCAGCTTTACAATAATGGGATTACTCTCTTTTGTCATATGTCTTCTCATTGGGGAATGGATATTTAATTATTGGATAGTATCAGTTAGTTATACCTTTTAAGGATAGGTTTTGATGGTTTTGTCTATATTAAAAATGACACCCCCATCTGGATAAAACTTCGTAAAATTGAGTTATTAGTTGATTATGTTAATATATAATTCAGGTATTTTTTTAAATATTAAATTAATATGTAATTCGGGAGTTTTCTATAACCCACCAATTATTTGAGAAATTAAGTTTAATTTAATACGATTTATTTTATATATCCCTAGCAATCTTGTATAAAATGATGCGATTTTAGGCACTTTCTTTTACTCTTTCCACTCTGTGGACTCTGCGGGTTCGATGAGAGCCACAACGGGATGACAAAGTAGAAGGAATGGACCCCGAATTCATCCTGGATCCTCCAGAGAGGCAAGCTGACGTCTTAATAGCCTTAATGGCTAGGTACAGTATGTACACATGTTCTTTTAATATAAGTTTTGGATATCCAAAACAAACTATTTTTTGTCTTCATTTTTTAATTAAAGTTCTAACTCCTTCCAGAAAGTAATATTTACTTTTATATATAGCCGTTACATGTTATAAGAAGCGCCTAATGAATACATATTACTAATATATATGTATTACATAATCCAGTGCCGGATTTAGACTTATTGTACCTTAAGTTATAACATGTAATATGTCTTTTCTTCCAAAATTTACAAGTGTGAAGATCTAAACAGTACCCCTGTGAAGTCTTAAGCTGTAACACGTATAACCTGGCTCTTCATAATACACAGAACGATCCATAAACTCCGTTACCTAAAATTAAAATGATTTCTATAAATTTATAATGTATTAAAATGCTATAAATTTTAAACCATGCTGGTAATTTATATTATTGTTATTTCAAAAGGAAATATTGTTCATTATTTTCGAAAATATTTATAATTCAAAAGTATATTATATAAGATATCCCTAGACGAAAGTAAGCATTGAAATTCAGTAGGAGTAGCAAGGATAATGTTGTAAATAACCACTAAACTTATCCGTCCAGGATATTGAACACCTAGCAAAGTAATGACAGTCGAACAATACTCGGATAAGCACCATTTCGATCGAGAGGTAACGGTTCTTGTTGCTAGATTTACTCATTCTAGCAACACTTCAGAAATCTAAGTCCCTTTATTGAACACGATGAATTATTTAACGAATCTAAAGAAAAATAAAATAAAAATAAAAAATTCTTTAACGTATGAATTTCTATTTTAGATAGATATTTGGTGATTTTATTGAACAAAAAAAAATTCAGTTCAACATATTAAAAAAGCAATATAAAAGCATTTATATCACGTATAAGATTCCTTTAGTAATCTTTTACTTTAAAGAATTTTTAATATAGAAAAAATTCATTTAAAAATATTTTCGTATTAATTACATATTTAAATTAGAAAATTAAAGAAATTTTAATTAATTTTTTTTAAAAAAAATTAAACTTAAATTTTGTGATTAATAATGCAATTTTAATTAATATATAAATTGATTTTTCTTTTGGGCTTATTGTACTGTATAAGTATAGTCGTGTGTTACAATATGTGTGAGAGAGCCCAAAAGTCAATTAACGATAATAAAGCCTTAATTGTTCTCTTATTAAAACCCTTAATTTTTTTTATAATATAACTTTAAATAATTTTAAAAAAATAATAAAAAAAAAGAATTTAGAAAAAATTATACCTGAAACATTCATGATATTCCCAAGTGATAACGTAATAATTAAAAAAAATCAAGTAGTAAAATGCAAAAGAAACATTCCTAAATTATCTAAAAGTATAAATTTTTCTGCATATAAATGCATGTAAATTTAGAAAATTTATTTATAAATGTCATTTGTTCATTTGTTATTTGAACTTTTGTTACTATAGTAACTTTGTTTAGTAGATAAGTTAGATAGAAACAAAGCATTATCTCTATTTCAATTAATAATATAATTATTAATATTTTAATAAAATTTTATANGAATCAAAAAGGAGATTTCAGGGAAAGAATGTTAGGAAAGAAATTGGAAAAAATATTTCATAAAAAAATTAAGAAAGAAAATTTCAGGGAAAAATAAGGAAAAAGTATTCTTTAGAAAGAATTAGAAATAGAGATTTCACATTCTCTCCTATGATTGTTTATCTTTAAATTTCTATCTCGCCTATGATATCTTTTGCTATTTTATATATCTATAGATTATAATTAATTAATTAACTTATTCAGAAATTGTTTAATTACATAATAAGTCTAATACAGTTAACAGTTTATAGTAGTAGAATCTTAATCTAATACTGCATACTTTATATTAAAAAAATTTAATTTTATAAGTTAAAACTTTAGAAAATAAAAATTAAAGATTATTTTTTTGTGGAAGGGGGAAATATTTTAAGTGAAAAATCGAATTTCATAGGAATAAAGTCATAAACGAGTGTAGGACATAACCATTTCTATACAGGATATAGAAAACTATCGATCAAACTTGGTTCAATGTCATTTTTATTTCATCCTTTTTAATATTTATCGCTATTCTCCATATAAAATGATTAATTCTCGACTTAAAATTTTTTTCTTTTAATATTTCTAAGTTTATAAATGTCCTTTAATTTCTTATTATTATTTTGATCGAATTAAATCCTTACTTAAATATTTTTTTGTTCATATATT